CACACACACACACACACACACACACACACACACACACACACACACACACACACACACACACGCCCCAGATTGTCCAGTCCCGACCCTGATTCCCCCAGGGCCATAACTTTTCAAAAACCGGCCGCTTCACGTTTCGCTCAGGTCCTACCCGCCCTGCCTGCATCTCGGTACATATTTCACTCAGGTCCTACCCGCCCTGACCGCATCTTGGAGGCCCTTGTCGCCTCACAATAATTTAGTACACATACAGTCCAAAATGTACTTCCGAAGCAACCATAAATAAGCCAGAATCGACACATTGTAGATATAAATGTCGAACGAGTACTCTGTAAAACCAACGTTTGAGACACAATCCCACAGTACCATGTCAATGTTCATTCACAACAGCTGTCCATGAAATTGGCAATCCAGATTGGTTCTGGGTACAACCAAATTGATTTCATAATTTCCGATCAGGGATTGACTGAGGAAGGACAGATTTGGTGTTCATTGGAAGGAAAAAAAGAACATGGGAAGCTTTGGACGTTGTCCATAGACTCAGTTACCTTCCAGCCTTCCTCTTTCACTATAATCCCGGTAGCTTGCAGAAGTCCGGTGTACTTCGATGGACCCGCTGGGGAAGTAGGAGCTAGCACTTTGCTGACTGGCTCTAACTGCACCTGCAAGGACGATCAAAATGTGCATGCACAAGCTAATGTTATACACAAGGCAAAGAGAAGATAGGACCAAAAGGAAGCAGCAGACGCCCACAGGCAGGAATACATAAGGGCTAGGTCACAATAAATTGGAAACTAGTGGACAGAGGAGGTGGAGTGCCGAATTTGAGTGGAGAGGTGGAGCGGAGTGGAGTGAGAGGGTGGACGAGTGGAGTGGAGGATTGGAGAGTGCAGGAGTGCAGGAGTGCAGGAGTTGAGGAGTGCAGGAGTGCAGGAGTGCAGGAGTGCAGGAGTGGAGTGCAGTGCAGGAGTGCAGGAGTGCAGGAGTGCAGGAGTGCAGGAGTGGAGTGGAGTGGAGTGGAGTGGAGTGGAGTGGAGTGGAGTGGAGTGGAGTGCAGGAGTGCAGGAGTGCAGGACTGGAGGAGTGCAGGACTGGAGGAGTGCAGGAGTACAGGACTGGAGGAGTGCAGGAGTGGAGAAGTGGAGGAGTGGAGGAGTGCAGGAGTGGAGGAGTGGAGGAGCGACGGGCAATGGAGGGATGGAGAATGCATCACCTTGAAAGATGCTAGGATCAATGCAAAACAAACGTGATGCAATGTGATTGACCCCAGGAAACAGATGCTTTGAAATGGTTTGCATGATCGAATATGACACCCGTGTGTGCTCGCACTCTATGGGGGCCTGAAAAGACTAAGGGACGGCCTGCTTGGAGGGAGGGATAAGGACCAGGCCGTAGGCGTAGGAGAAGCGGCTAGGGAGAGGAAGCGGGGCAACTCCCCCGAGGATGCCCTAGGGCCGACTAGCGAAAATGTGCGTGGCCTACGGAAGAACGCTTAGCCTACGCACGAGAAAGAAGAGAGACTCACAAAGAACTCCCTGGACTGCATGAGTATCAGAAGGAGCAATTGCTTGGTCACACAAGAGGAGAATCGAGAACCTATGCTTGCGAGACTAAACCAGTGAGGCTACCACCCGACTAGAGGGCTGAGCTACATCCCCCAATGTTAAGCTGTCTCGACCTATTGGCCCAGCCCCACCCATACCAAAGCATTAGGTGGGGGTGACTCTGGGACGAATGACCCGCGCCCTGAGCTTGAGCGCGGGCGGGTCGAGCCGTATGGGACCCGCCGGGGGGTCGACAAGGCTCGAAAGTCTACCGGAGTTAGGCCCGACACCGGCTTGACTTCATAAGGAGCGGGGGGTGTTACATGCTGCGCCTGCACACGGGCCCCATTCCAGGGGCCCGATAGTTGCTCAAGGGCCCCTTGGCTGCGTGCCCATCGGACACGCGCCTTGGAGGCCCACGGCGGCCCTCAGGCTGCAGGTATGGCTGCGAGGCAGCATTTATTTATTTATTTATTTGCTGTCCTATTTGTGTCTGTTCAGACGTTGTTTCGGACTTGTAGTCCCCAAGGCAGCGCCTTGGGCCTCGAGACACCAGGGGGGGGCAGGGCCGATAAAGGCCAGGCACACATTGGCGCCCTGCTGCATCAGCCGCACGGTCAGAGCCCCTACCGGGCGTCCAGACTGTGCAGGCCGCTCTTTCAGGCCATGCAGAGACACACCGGCCGACCCAACGCTGTATATAGCTGGGCCACGGCCAGGGCAGACATAGTTTGAGTAGCTCACTTCTGGAGCGACACGCTGCTGGACTAGGGCTGCACTACTTAGCGCTGCGCCGTGAGGTTGGGAGTAGAGGTGTAGGAGGCAGAGGGGCGGAGGCCATACCTGCAGCGGGGCTTACCTGCCACCATAGCTGGGACTCCACGGCGCGCCGACGTGCACATGACGACGACGAGACAGCGGTCAGTACACGGCGGCGGTACCTGTAGGTGAGACAACGAGGAGGACGGCATCTTCTCTTCTTCTTCGTCTCGTCTCCCTCTTGTCTCCCTCCTTCCTCCTTCCTCCTTTCTTCTCCTTCTTCTACTGAGCGAGAGAGAGAGAGATTACAGGCAGAGGTTACATCGGGCATAGAGCCCAGGATCTGATCCGACATTTTTGTGGCAGACATTGGTGGGACATTCGGCAAGGGACTATTTTTGGACTTCGCTATCGCGAACTTGGTCTTCTCCCTTGCCTCCATCTTCGTCTCTCCTCTTCCCCCATCTCTCATCCGTGGTATCTCCCCCATGCGCGTGTACAAGAAGGGACCTTTCTTCCATGTATGTGGTCCCTCCTCCTTCTCTCACATGTGTGGTGTATGATGGCATGTCGTGCCAGTCTTAGTTAGGTCAGGTCTTATCTTCGAGTCTTCCACTGCGCCACATTGTGCCATTTTGTATGTATCGGGATGTACATTGCTTGTTGATGCTTCGCTGACATTGCATTGTCCGTTTCAGTCCTTTTGATCACTTTGCTGATTCTTGGCTCCATACACATTGCCCAGCTGGGCATGTGTCATGTGGCGTGTGCATTCACGAACAGTGTGATTAATGATCCATGTCCTTTTTGGGGTCACTTACCACTGCACCCAGAACATCATGCATGGCCTTGAATTGGAGGAAATCAACGTGATTGAGGGCCCCTGCGCATGGACACGAACTAACGGATCGCCCGCTTGGCATGAGTGTTTTGGAAGCGAAGGGCCAGCAGCCTAGAATTTCCCTGACTGCTGGCCCAGAATTTCCCTGTGGTCAGTCACTTGACGTCAACTTAAATGTGTGGAAGGGGTAGCCTGGAATTTGTCCCTGTAGTTTCCATGTGTATCTGATAGGGCCTCGCTCCATTAGACAACACTCTACACGCATTTGGGCTATTTCTTGACCAGATACATTTGGAATGGTGGACTCGTACGAATGACCTGGTCCAGAGAGCGTCCAAATCATGGTTTCGTTCTGGACGTCCGGACCGAGTTCCAGACAGTCTGGAATACCATGTCCGCGCGAACGTACCGTCCGGAGGGTCCGGAAGGTGCCAAATCTATGAGGATTTTTATTTAAAAAACGGATCGACCTGGACCCTTTGTTGGGTTGAGGCCGACCCCAGAAAATTGTCTCTGGTAATTTTTTGACCCGTTGGGCCTCTGCAGACACGGCCCGACGCACGCTTCTTAGGTTTTATATATATATATTTTTTTTCCGTTCACTCTGGACTCTGCAATCTTGGCGTGGCCTCGTTTTTGGGGGGAAACGAGGTATTTTCGAATCGAAACTTCGCCCGCCCGCCATTCAGCCCGCTGGTATGCTATCGAAACTCCCCCCGCCCGCCATTCACCCTGGAATGTGACGAGCTGTTGACGTTGTTGTTGCAGTGCTTTCCCCATCACCATCGTTGTGGTTGCTCCTGCCGTGTGCACGTGTTCGCGGTCATCGAGCCAGTGTCGCCATCAGAGAGAGAGAGAGAGAGAGAGAGAGAGAGAGAGGAGGGGGGGGGGGGGGGGGGGGGGGGGGGGGGGGGGGGGGGGGGGGGGGCGCGAGGAGTTGTGGATGACGCTGGATACGCAGAGGAGGGAGGACGACGACGGCTTAGAGGAGGGAGGATCTCAGAGACGAAGTGGACGTCAAGGAGGAACAGAGGGGTGCAGGGTGTTCAGGGTGTTGGTCGTGCTGTGGAACGATTGACACAAGTAACACCGATGAGACCCCCCTCGGCAGGGCTGTACACCATAGTTGCGACGCACGTGTGCTCTGCGCCGGTGCGCTGTGCACTGTGCGCTGGTTTAGCTGCGCGCGCACTGTGCGCTGTGCGCTCGCTGCGGCCTGTGCGCCATGTGCGCAGGGAAAAAAATATTAAACATGGCCAAAGAGAGGTGGGGGAGGAGAGAGAGAGAGAGTGTGTGTGTGTGTTACATCTTCAACGCCACACGGGTCCTACCGGACCCGACTTAGGGCTAGAGGGACACATCAGGGCCTAAAGGCCCGACCTTGGGGTACTACAGGCCATAAAGGCCTCACCTTGGACCAGACCCGACGGGTAGGCCCAAACGACATTACCGTTTGGGCCTGGCGGCGCTCTTGAGGCTGCCGCCCGCCGGTTGGGGCTGAACCGTCCATCTGGACGGTTCAGGGCACGGCCAGGCCTCGCAGCATTGAGGCCGGCTTCTGCCCACCTGTATATAGAACCGGTCCAGCCTCAGTCCAGGATCGACCCACCGGTATACGATACGGTGCGGTAAGGTCGGCACCAGAGTGCCGTTGGAGCGCTATGTTTAGCGCAGGAGCGAGGAAAAGGCAGCGCAGCAGCAGCAAGCGGAGCAGCAGCAGCGGCGACTGGGTTACCGGCGGCCATAGCCGCCTGAGGTACCGGGAGTTGGAGGTTTCTCTCCTCCCTCCCATCGCCAGTCCCCTCTCTCTCCCTCTCCTCCTCGGCTCCTCCTCCTCCTCCTCCTTCTTCTTCTTCTTCCCCTTCTCAGACGCCATCTTCTTCTTCTTCTTCTTCAGATTGGAGACTTATACTAGTTGGACAGAGATCAGTATTGGACTTCGGTGGTATGAGACTGTGGTACTTACCGGATTGGAGACTTGGAGAGTGTTGGGGTTAATACTCGGCTGCATCACAGTTTGGACACCGGTTACATTTGGACTCTGTACCTCCGACATTGGTGACCTATTGTCCTCGACATTTTGATCTTGTTGGATGACATTTTGGACTACCATATCGGTGACCTATCATATTCTATCTCGGCGACCTTCGGTGCTGTCTACCTCCCCCACCTCCTTCGTCTCTCCTCCCACCTCTCATCTGTGTATGCGTGTACGAGGTCTGGGCATCGTCTATGCTTGGCCCAGACCCCACCATCTCACAATTGTATGTGTGTGGAGTGATTCTTGAATCAGTCTGTGTGAGTCAGTCTATGTGAGTCAGCCCGTTTATCAGACTTCCGCTGCATATATGCTCATCCTACATTGGTTGATCTTTGGTTCTGCCCATACTCATTGAAGTATGTAAGAGTGTGTGTGTGTGTGTGTGTGTGTGTGTGTGTGTGTGTGTGTGTGTGTGTGTGTGTGTGTGTGTGAGAGAGAGAGAGAGAGATGG